TTCCTTCCTTCCTTCCTTCCTTCCTTCCTTCCTTCCTTCTTTCCTTCTTTCCTTCCTTCCTTCCTTCCTCCCTCCCTCCCTCCTTTCTTTCTTCTTTCTTTCTTTCTCTCTCTCTCTTTCTTTCTTTCTTTCTTTCTTTCTTTCTTTCTTTCTTTCTTTCTTTCTTTCTTTCTTTCTTTCTTTCTTTCATTTTTCTTTCTTTTCTTTTTCTTTCTTTTCTTTCTTTCTTCTTTCTTAGTTCAGATGTCATTTATTCATAATTTATTTTTGTTGCTCTTCATTGTATTTATTTTACTTTAAGTTCCAGGATACATGTCCAGGATGTGCAGATTTGTTACATAGGTAAATATTTGTCATGGTGGTTTGCTGCAGCTATCAGGTTGTCACTGAGATATTAAGCCCAGAATGCATGAGCTGTTTATCCTGATGCCCTCCCTTCCCTAGCCCAACAGGCCCCATTGTGTTTTCTTCCCCTCCATGTGTCCATGTGTTCTCGTTGTTCGGTTCCCACTTATAAGTGAAAACATGTGGTGTTTGGTTTTCTGTTTCTGCATTAGTTTGCTGAGGTAATGGCTTCTAGCTGCATCCATGTCCCTGCAAACAGCATGATCTTATTCCTGTTTATGTCTTCATAGTATTCCACAGTGTATATGTACCACATTTTCCTTATCCAGTCTATCATTGATGGGCTTTTTGGTTGATTCTATCTCTTTACTATTGTGAATAGTGCAGCAATGAACATATGTGTGCATGTATCTTTAAAATATAATAATTTATATTCTTTGGGTATATACTCAGTAATGAGATTGTATCAATATTAACCTTAAGTGTAAATGGGCTAAATGCCACAATTAAAAAATATAGAATGGCAAGCTGAATGAAGAGTCAGGACCCATCAAAACACTGTATGCAAGAGACCCATCTCATGTGCAAAGACACACATAGGCTCAAAATAAATGGATGGAGGAAAATTTATCAAACAAACAGAAAGCAGAAAAAAGCATGTCTTGCTATCCTAGTTTCTGACAAAACAGACTTTAAACCAAAAGATCAGGAAAGATAAAGAAGGCCATTACATAAGCATAAAGGGTTCAATTAAACAAGAAGAGCTAACTATCCTAAATATATATGCACCCAATACAGAAAACACCCAGACTTATAAAAGCAAGTTCTTAAAGACTTACAAAGAGAATTAGACTCCCATGCAATAATAGTGGGGTATTTTAACACCCCACTGTCAATATTAGACAGATCATTGAAGCAGAAAATTCAGAAAATTAACAACAATGTTCAGGACTTGAACTCAGCTCTGGATTAAGTGGACTTGACAGATATCTACATAATTCTCCACCCAGAAAACCAAGGAATATACATTATTCTCGGCACAACATGGCAGTTGCTCTAAAATCAATCACAGAATTGGAAGTAAAACACTCCTGAGAAAATGCAAAAGAACTGAAATTATGCTAAGCAGTGTCTCAGACCACAGCACAATCAAATCAGAACTCAAGATTAAGAATCTCACTTAAAACCCCACAACTACAGGGAAATTGAACAACCTGCTCTTGAATGATTCTTGGGTAAGTAATGAAATTAAGACAGAAATCAAGAAATTGTCTCAAACCAATGAGAACAAATAGACAATGTAGCAGAATCTCTGGGATGCAGCTAAAATATCGTTAAGAGGGAAATTTAAAGGACTAAATCCCCACATCAAAGAGCTCGAAAGTCCTCAAATTGATGCAAGCATCACGACTAAAATATCTGGAGAACCAAGTACAAACAAACTCCAAAGCTAGCAGAAGACAAGAAATAACCAAGATCAGAGTGGTGCTGAAGGAGATAGAGACATAAAAAATTACTCGAAAAATTACTCAAAAATCAACAAATCCAGGAGCTGTTTCTTGAAAAAGTGAAATAAAGTAGACAGCTGTCTAGACTAATAAAAAAGGAAAAGAGAGAAGAATCAAATAGACACAATAAAAATGATAAAGGAGATATCACCACTGACTCCATAGAAATACCAACCATCATCAGATAATACTATAAAGACCTCTATGCAAATAAATTAGAAAATCTAGAAGAAGTGGATAAATTCCTTTACACATGCACCCTCCCAAGGATGAACTGAGAATAAGATGAGACCAATAACAATTCTGAAATGGAGGCAGTAATAAATACCCTACAAACCAACCAGAAAAAAAAAAAAAAGCCCAGGATCAGATGGATTCACAGCTGCCTTGTATTTCTCCATTCTCTGTGGATCAGTTGCTTCCTTGATTAGTCCCAGTGTAAGTACCTGGATGTTTCAACTGAAGGTGCTGTATTTACTCGCTCCATCTGTTTCTCTCCATGACAGGCATGCATATGAGCTGCTTCTAGTTGGCCATCTTGGCCTCTCCCCACTTGTAATAAGTTTCAAGAGTGTATCTCATATTAAGTGATTTTGCTAATACAAAATATGCTTCTGAGATGTTGCAGATTTGGTTCCAGACTACTACAATAAAACAAAACATGCAATACAGTGAGTCACACCATTTGCTTTAGTTTCTCTGGCACAGAAAACTTATGTTTACACAATGCTGCAGTCCATTAATTCTGCAGTAGTATTAAGATTCAAAAAAAGTACATGCCTTAATTAAAAACACTTCATTGCTAGAAAGTGGTAACACTCATCTGAGCCTTCAGTGAGTTGTAAATTTTTTGCTGGTGGAGAGTCTTTCTTGCATCAATGTTGATGGCTGCTAACTCATCAGAGTAGTGGCTGCTAGTAGTTGGCATGGCTGTGGCACTTTCTTAAAAGTAAGAAAACAACAGCAGGTGCCACATCCACTAACCCTTCTTTTTCACAAAATATTTCTGTTTAATATGCGTTGTTGTTTGATAGCAATTTTCCCATGGTGGTTCTTCTTTCAAAATTGAAATCAAACATCTGAAAGTGTAATGCTGCTTTATTAACTAAGTTTAAGTCATATTCTAAATTCATTGTTATCATTTCAACAATGTTTACATATTCTTCACCAGTAGTAGATCCATATCAAGAAACAACTTTCTTTGCTCTTCCATAGGAAGCAACTCCTCATGTATTTGTTTTATCACAGGATTGCAGCAATGTAGTTACATCTTCAAGTTGAGTTATCTTTCTATTTCCACCATATTTGCCATTATTTCCTCCACTGGATTCTTTGTTATAGGGCCAACAGGTTCACATGCCCACTCTGCAATAATAGACCAATTACACTGAGACATTATGTCTTGCAGCAAAGAAAGAGTTTAATAATTACAGGGCACTGAGCAGGAAGATAGGTGGAGACCCTAAAACTCATCTCCCTAAGGAGTTCTGGGCTGGATTTTTTAAGGGGATAATGGAGAGTGATGGACTGAAAAGTTGGGGTCACAGATTAGTCAGGATAGTGGCTAAAATCATCAGGAGTTGGAAACTGCAGTCTTTGGTGAGTCAGCTCCTCGTGGTGTCCTTGAGACCAGCTGGCATCAGTGAAGTCCTTTAGACCAGCTGAGTCAGTGGTTTCATCAGTATGTAGGAACTGAAGGTGAGAAAACAACATTTCAAAATGTTTAAGTTATTATCTAAAGAACAGTTAAGATGAACTATAATCTTGTAACAGTGTCTGCATAATTATATAATAATAATCAAAAAACTATGAAGAAGTGAGTCAGAGAGCAAACTAACCGAAAGCTGTCTGCTGAATGTACTGCAGGCCTGGTTTACTTTTATATCTTCCCCTCCCTTTCTCCTTGATGAATTCAACAAAGTCTACAGGAATAGTGTCATCTTGAAACTCTCTAAATCATTCCTGATGGTAGTAAGAATCAACATATAAATGTTCTATCATAAATGAACCTTTAAAATATACTAAGTAAAATAGGCCAGTCATAAAGGATCACATATTGTATGATGCCATGTATTAAAAAATGTCCAGAACAGGCAAATCTATAGAGATAGAAATTCAATTAGCATTTGTCCAAGATAGGACAAATGCAAAAATTAGGGGTAGGGAGTAAAAGGATAAAGAGTATAGGTTTTAGTTTTAGGAGATAAGAGTTTTCTAAAACTGACTGTTATGGTAGATGTATAATTCTGTGAATATACTATGACACATTAAATTTTATGCAATAAGTGATAATTTGTATGGTATCTGAATTATATTTCAACAAATTTACAGAAGTTTTTGAACCATGTTTAGCTATTTTATCTTTAGTTCTGTGTCAAAGACACTGCAGGAACATGAACCTTTCACAGCTACTCTTATGGACACTATTCTAAAATATATTACATGAGTCAGGTGATGTGTCCATCCAAGATCACTGATATTAGCTGAATTATAGCACTTAAAAATATGAAAAGGAAAATAAACCCACTTGTATAAACAGGTCTTCTACCGTTTATTTGTCTCCTTGTTATCCACATGCTCAGACTGCTAATATAATGTGTTTACTTTGACGTGTAAAAGTTACATTTTAACTTCTTGAGTGATTTATACTTGGATGTCACTATGAGAAATGACAGAAAGGAGCAGCAACTGGAAAATAAGCATTGCATTGCATCAGGATGTCTATGAAATGGACTTCAGCTCTTCTGCTGATACAGCTGAGCTGTTACTTGAGCTCTGGGAATTGTGGAAAGGTCCTGGTGTGGCCCACAGAATTCAGCCATTGGATGAATATAAAGACAATCCTGGATGAGCTTGTCCAGCGAGGTCATGAGGTGACTGTATTGGCATATTCACCTTCCATTCTTCCTGGTCCCAACAACCCATCCGCTCTTAAATTTGAAATTTGTCCGACATCTTTAACTGAAACTGAGTTTGAGGATAGCGTCACACAACTGGTTAAGAGATGGTCAGACATTCCAAAAGACACATTTTGGCCACATTTTTTACAAGTACAAGAAATGATGTGGACATATGGTGACATGATTAGAAAGTTCTGTAAAGATGTGGTTTCTAATAAGAAACTTATGAAGAAACTACAGGAGTCAAGATTTGATGTTGTTCTTGCAGATGCTGTTTCCCCCTGTGGTGAGCTGCTGGCCGAGCTACTTAAATTACCCTTTGTGTATAGCCTCCGCTTCTCTCCTGGCTACGCGATTGAAAAGCATGGTGGAGGATTTCTGTTCCCTCCTTCCTATGTACCTGTTGTTATGTCAGAATTTAGTGATCAAATGAGTTTCATGGAGAGAGTAAAAAATATGATCTATATGATTTATTTTGACTTTTGGTTTCAAGCATGGGATACGAAGAAGTGGGGTCAGTTTTACAGTGAAGTTCTAGGTAAGTAATTTTTTCATTTGGTAGCATGGAGATCTAACTTTCTTGTACCTTTGAAGCTGAGCTTGTATAAAGCCATAAAGTCAGGGTAGTGGGAGCTTTTTGCAAGTGAATTTATCAAATGAAAGAAAAAGATTATCAAACTCACAAACACTATAGAAAAGGTAAATCATAGAATCTGTTAAAACCCTGTGGCCATCAACTATACAGAACACTCCAGGAAGTCATAAATCTGTAAATCAGTGCACCTTAGATTTCTTTAAGCAATCACACTTCTGTTGTATTATAATTTTTTGTCTTAAAAAAAGTCAGACTCATCAAGAAACATCTTGCTGGATGTATACTGGTAGACTGAGTAGTTACACATTTTTCTAGAACTATCTGTTTAACATTGCAGAAATTGTTTTTATCTTGTATACCTGTCTCCTTATTTAGTAATTGCAATATGTACCCATGTTACCAGGTTTCCTCCACTGTGGAGGAGGTTTCCTCCACAGTTGAGAGAAATAATGTCTCCATTTCAGAAACAGAAACCAATGCATATAATTTGAAGTTTCCAATGCTTCTATTCTCCTTCACTTAAGGATTGGAAACTATTCATTTTAAGGCCAGTCATCTTGTCAAAGTGTGAACATTAAGTTGTAACTGTACATATCCTTTGCCCATTTTTTGATGGGGTTGTTTGTTTTTTTCTTGTAAATTTGTTTGAGTTCTTTGTAGGTTCTGAATATTAGCCCTTTGTCAGATGAGTAGATTGCAAAAATTTTCTCCCATTCTGTAGGTTGCCTATTCACTCTGAT